GCCAGCACAACTTCACTTTTTTCAGAGTTGAAAACCCGACTAACCTTTAATGAGGAGGCTATGTTGGGGAACCTTGTTTTCTTGGCAGAGCTCTTGAAGATAAAGGGAGATGGGGAGGGGGACTAATGAGGTCCAGATGCGGGCAAACTGAAGCCTGATCCTGAATAAACAAGTCCTGGAGGTACTGAGCTCTTCTTGTCTCTCCAGCAAGAGATTTGCATACGGTACAAAGTGTGTTCCCCTGCGCCTCATGGAGCATATTCAAGATTTTAGAGAAGCAAATAGGATACATTTCCTGGACCTGTAGATGAGATCAGGGGCCTAAAGCTTCAGACTTTCTCCCCACAATGCAAGGCCTCTGGGGGTTTTTACAAATGCTCTGTGCCCTGTAGTAGCTCAATCCCTACCCTGCACGGCTAACAGGACAGGCAGGAAACAAAGTAAACAGATAAGAAAACTCGCCTGACACAGGGACCATGAGAACAGGCGTGGGCCCAGGGTTCTCTGGGACCTTTGGAAGGTGGGAGAGGAGGGAGCCAAGGAATGCTTCCTGAAGAGGTCTGCCCAGGGTTTATTTACCACCTACTATGCCACAGAGGAGACCAGATCTCAGTCTTCCAGGAGCCTGTCATCTAGCTGCGGAGATGAGAGCTGGGGAATCCCACACAGGGAGATGTGCAGTAAAGGTGCCCCTTCCCTGCCCCAGATGGAGCTGTTAGTGCCACCAGGCCACCTACGTCTCACTGGGCTGATGCTCAGAGCTTCATCCCCAGCACCTGAACACCAGAGGTACCAAACCCCCGAGGAAGGTGCAAGGCTGCCTGAGACAGCAGTGGCACCATTAGTTAAAAAGCCCTGGCTTTGGAACCAAGACCCCTGGTCTGGCCCCACCAGCTCTGGGAGAATACAGAAAATCCTGGTCTCAGCTCCAACAATCAACTGCCCGGATGACTACCAGGTGCAAGGAAGAGGTTGGGCATACAGGGGCTACTTTGTAAACTGCAACCCTGCAGAAATGAAAGGGATGGGTCTTCCTGATCACACACGTGACATCACAGAGTTACCAAACTACCGTCACATAATTTACAGAGAAAGAAAGGAGTTAGGTGGCTCATCTGAGCTTCGTAAAGGGCAAGTAAAAGGATAAGGAAGCACAAAGTTGAGACATGAACCTAAATCAGATGATGCCAGAGTCTGAGCCTTTTCTTTAGTTGGGAATGGTTCAAGCCAGGTCTGGGAGGGAAAGGGGCATGTCCATGGTACAGGGAGAGGGCGATTCACACATGACTCACCTGTGTGACAGCTCCTCAATATTAAGCATCTATGTAGACTGCTTTAGGGGGCCTGACCAAGGCAAGCACTGAGCCCATGTTATCTAAAATGAATGCTGAGCATTTTTGCCATATTAAAATCTTCGTCTCTAAGACTGAACACTGCAGTTCACGGCCCACATGTGAAGGGGCTGGCTAGGGGAGGGTATTTTACTGTCTGCGCTTAATCTCGCTGCTGCTAGAGTCATTAAGCCTTTGTAAGGCAGGGATAGGAACCACTGCTTTGTGGATTTGGAAGGAATTCCTATTATGCTATAATTCCAGAATCTGAGATACATCTGAAAAAGAGGTCAAAATGACTAGGTTTTTCCACAAGTCTTGCTACAGAAAGGTGTCTGCTTTCCCTATAACGTCTAAGGATTTGCACTGCTGAACCACACTGGTCTCCTCCGCTGCCACTCCATCCCTTTGTTGTGGGCACCATCCAAACTGGAGCCAGGGCATCCACACAAGGCCAGGCCTCTCTTGCTCTCTTCAACAAACCTGATGTTCGCCAGGAGAAAGCCCAGGGCAGCAAGTAGCAGGACGATGAGATTCCCAGCTCTGCAGCTGCCCCCTGCTATGACTGTTGCCCAGACCCTTTGATCAGAAGCCGATGTGGGTTAAGCCAGCCGCTCTTG